ATACAGTATGCAGACTCATCAACAGAAATATCCCAGGAGTAACACATAAATTAGCACATTTACACCATCAGCATCTACATACTGTATTTTTGGGCTGTGGAAGAAAACATATTACAGACTTTGACAGCATTCAGACTTTAGCTCTACTGGTTTTGGAACACAGAGCCACCTTGGAGTCATAAATCTTCTCAGATTCGTCCTTCATTCTTTCCATTCTTCCATTTGATTATAATTTTTTTTGTGGATTAAAGTTTGATCATTCTTGGTGGCACCAAAAGAAAATTCAATTCAAATTATATATTGCCAAATTACAACAAAAGGCATCTCAGGACACTTAAAGGTCTAGATCATACTATTATCATCATCACTATTATTATAGAGGAAAACCCAACAAATCCCCCTTGAGCAAGCACTTGGCGACAGCAGGGAGGGAGAGCGAAGTGATCTGTTGGGATAATAAGTCACTATGAGGTCTTTAAGATATGATGAAGCCTTATTATTAAGGGCTTTGTATGTTAGGAGAAGGATTTTAAAGTCTATTCTGGATTTTACAGGGAGCCAGTGGAGAGAAGCTAATATAGGAGAGATATGATCTCTCTTGCTAGTTCCTGTCAGTACTCTGCAGCATTTTGGATTAACTGGAGGCTTTTTAGGGAATTATTGGGTCATCCTGATAATAAAGAGTTACAGTAGTCCAGCCTGGAAGTAACAAATGCATGGACCAATTTTTCAGCATCACTTTGAGACAGGATGCTCCTGATTTTTGCAATATTGTGCAGGTGAAAGAAGTCAATTCTAGAGACTTGGTTTATGTGTGATTTAAAGGACATATCCTGGTCAAAAATGACTCCAAGATTCCTCACAGTTGTACTGGAGGCTAGAGCTACAATATGTCATCTAAAGTAACTATATGGTTAGACAGCAGATTTCTAAGGTTTTCAGGCTAATGCAAGCAAAATTTATTTATATAGCACCTTTCTAAACCTGCGTTACAAGGTGCTTTCCAGTAAAACATAATAATAAAAATACATAAAACCAGATAAAACACATCTACACAATAAAATAACAAAAATGCATAGTCAAAACAAATACATCAATCAATAAAATTGTCAAAGGCCCATGGATACAACGTTTTGAGAAGTGATTTAAAAACAGACAGGTTCGGAGCAGATCTAATCTCCCATGGCAGACCATTCCACATTATAGGAGCCCGAACTGAAAAACCAACCCGAACTGAAAAAGCTCGGTCTCCCCGCTGTTTCCGTCTGGACTTTGGTACTTCCAGGAACAACTGGTTCGAAGACCTAAGTGTCCTTTCTGGAGTATAAAAACGCACAAGCTCAGAAATATATGAAGGTGCCAAACCATGTACAGCCTTATAATAACAATGAAAAGACAACCCATATTTCATAAAAAAATCAATTCAAGGGGAAGTAAATACAAAGAAAAGAGTACTGGCCCGAGTATGGAGCCCTGAGGAACACCACAGTTCAAAGGAACAGCAGAAGAAGAGAACTCATCAATATGTACAGCAAAACTCCTATCAGACAAATTTGATTCAAACCGTTTAAGAACACCACCATGAAGTCCTACAGAGTGCTGCAGATGGGACAAAAAATATGATGGTCTACTGTGTCAAAAGCAGCCGAAAGATCTAAGAAAATCAGAATAGCAGTATTACCTTTATCCACCAACACAAGATCATTAAATACCCGCAACAGAGCTGATTTGGTACTATGGTGTGTCTTCTCAAATTCTCTAAAAAAATCTGTAACTGTATAAAAACCATTTTCTCTATAATCTTAGTTTTAGGATATGCGCTCGTACACGGAAGTGAGTGAGCGACAGAGAGGCGGACCCAGGTAGCCGACTTCAGTGCAAGTAGTGGTTTATTAAATTACAGTGCAGTAGGGTGATAAACAAGAAACAGGTAAGTGAGTAGGGGAAAACTGGGTGTCGACCAAGAGCCGGAGTTCTGGAGTGATGAGCTGGAATGTGGTGGGGCCGAGCTGTGTCGCGGGGTCACTCCTGAGCTGGTCGATGAGGTGATGATAGATGCTGGAACAAAACACAGGTAGAGAGGAGTTGACATGGGATAATCTTGGTGACTGTGCATCGACCTGTCTGGAGGAAAAGGCAGTCCAAAAAGGAAGGGGAAAGAAAAACTGGCCAGGAGAAACTACGTGTGCCACTGGAACCAAGGTATAAAATAATCATGTACTGGAAAGCCGAGGAACAACACAAAACAATAGACTAGGACATTCTTAGCAGAGAGGCAAGGTGAAGGCCTGATAACATGAACGAACTGGCAAGTGAGTGAGAGGTGAACTGGGTATAAATAAGGGGGGACTAATGGAGTGCAGCTGGTGCTAATCCTGGTAGTGAGGAGCAATCAGGGGCTAAGATAGACAGAGTGAGGAAGGTGAGAGAGGCCAAAGTGGCCGGGTAAACCTGACACTTAGACAAAAATGGTAACTTGGAAACTGGTCTAAAATTCGATAAAACAGTAATATCAAGATTGGGTTTTTTAAGAATTGGTTGAATCACTGCATGTTTAAGTGCCGTTGAGACAATCCCAGAAGCCAGAGCCATTAATAAGATTGACAATGTCCAAACCAATACTATGAAACATCTCTTTAAACAGAGCTGCTGGCATAATGTCCAAAGGACAATGAGAGGGTTTCACAAGCTGAACTACTTTCATAAGAGCAATTAATGAAATAGGCTCAAACTGGTCAAAAACAGCTGAGCATATAGGAGCAACAGAAGGATCCAGAACAGAATCATCAATTTGGGACCCGATCATAACAATTTTATCCACAAAAAAATTGAAGAAACTCATTACAAGTAGCGGAGGACACATCCGTCCAAGCAGCAGTAGATGGATATAAGACCACATTTATGGTGCTGAACAACACCCTGGGTATATGACAATTGTTTACAATAAGCCTGGAAAGCCTGGAAAAGTATTGAGATCTAGCAAGTTTTGACAGCACTTTGATAATCTCTTAATCACTTTTTTAAAATATGTTCTGTTCTGCATGTTTGAAAGAATAAAATCAATCAATCAATCCAGCGAAATCTGAAGATATTTTTTTCCACTTCTGCTCAGCCTGCCTACATGCCGAAAATGTTGGTGAACTCATTAAAAGGCCAGACGAGGAAATGTAAAGCAAAAACGCGTCTCTTTAATAAAAGAACTAACGCTAAACAAAAAACCATACAAGACACGGTGTACAAAAACACACTTACGGGTTGGTATAACAGTCCAAGGTCAGAGCCAGCAAACACATATATCAAAGGGATCCAAAATACGTAGTCCAAAGGGAAGTCCGATAATCATACACAGTAGCAGTCTGAAACAAGAGGGCAATGCAGAGCAGAATAGGGGTTATGCACAACTTACTTCTGTATACTGCAAAACAGAATCATCCGTTTCCGGTTTGTGACTAGTATGAAATATGGCACTGTTCTACTCAAGATGTCTCCAAGAACAACCAAAGATGAAGATCACGGATGTCCACCGAATATGCAGTTCGACGTCTAAAACACCGGGCAGCAAGCTGGATAAGGGGTTTAAGCTATATGCTTCTTCATACATCCACGACTACGAAGGTAGAGTTATGTATCGGTTATCTTACAAACGGAGATGTAGCTAAGCTAGTTCGTAAGCTAACTAGCTAATGTTATCGATATTTACACCGAGCATCTGTCTGGTACACCAAAATAATGTAATACACTACCAGAAAGCTAATCGTAACTAAGCTTGTGTGATGGAAATGCTAAATTCGCAAACTGCTGGGCTTCTAATTTTTCACATGCCATGTCCAAGGCTGATGGTTCTGGTCTAGCATAGTCATGACACTGAAGCAGAAATCCGACGTCCATCTGTTCCTCCTCAATTTCCTCCGGCCGTTGCGTTCTCTCCCACATGCTTGGTCTACTTGCAGGCAGAGAGTAGTCATTCCAGGCAAACAACACTGGAGCAGCTCCTTCTTTCAAACGCCGTCGTCCACCTTGAATTACATCTGTGGAGACGAAGTGTCTACTACATAGTGTTGTTGTCCATCCATATTTTTCTTAAGGTTTCATCCTTGGGGAAATGGTGAAAACTTATGGCTGAACTGAACTTCCCTGACATCGCACATTGAGGTACGCAGCAGAAATCACTGTTTGGATGGTCCCGCTTCTGGTATTTGTGTCTTGAAAAATACATTTTTGTTTTTTTAATCTACGAACTAATCAAATAAAACGAGCTCAAAGAACGTGTTACTACTGTTGTGTCACCCGCGTTCTGCGGAAAAGCGGAAGTGCGCTGATCCGTTTTCTGGTTTGGTCACGTGACGTTCCGCATAACCCCTATAGTCCAAGGTAAACGATCCGGGTCAACACACAAAATGGCAAAACCAAAAAACGCTGGAGAGTCAGAGCTGGAGTCTAGAACAATGTGGCAGGGACTGGTGGGTGAAGGCTGCTTATAATGCGGTGCAAACTAAAGGCTTTATTCTATTATAAAGCCACGTCCGGTTCTTTCAACCAGGAACTCAGAGAGACGAAGCGGACCACTTGAGTATATAAAAAAAATATAACCGTACTGGTTTATACAAAGGGTCACAGGCAAGAATTAACATTACACGTCCAGGCATCTTCCACCCCCAAAGCTGCTTCCCGTCTACACCTGTCACTATGAGCGTTGCTAAGCCCTGGTTCCTCAAAGTCAAAGTCAAAACATGAGGAAAAGTCAAGGTGTGTGGCTGTTGTTTTTGTGGTGTGTATCTAGAACAATTTGACATGACATTACTCATTAAGACAAATATTAAGATTAGCATTACAGTTAATACTAACAACTCTTTGCCTGCAACCTTGGCCTACATGCACATGAAATTAAACTGAGCAGTTAACAGCCTGAGCTAGACATCCTGTCTCCACTAAACATTTCTAGACAACAAATCTCTGAATATCTATCTAACTAAGAAATAACCTAACAAAACTATAATGAGCAGGTGAAACTAATGCGAGTGATGAAAGTAAAGAGACCGAAACTGTGGTGAAACAAAACAGGAAGTAGCATCAAAATAAAAACCTGACAGGAAGCAACACAGAACCAAATAATGACACCTACATACAAGTTCAAATGAACGGGTGTTTTCATTTAGCCAAGGTTCAGACTTAATTCTGACTCGTTTATCCTTAAAAGTAGCACACGAGTCAAGGATGTCAGTGCATGTAGAGCTAAACCGAGCTAATAGCTCATCTACAGTCTCATGACCAGCATCCAGTAACATATGAGGCTGTAAGTCATTATAGGCAGTGGAAAAGAATTCAGCTGTCTTAGGAGTAATCAAGCAACATCGCTAGGTTCAAGCGACATCGCTAGGTTGGCATACTAGAACTAGTTATAGAATAAGAAATTGCAGCATCGAATAAAATGGAAATGATCAGAAATCCCCACATCACAAATATCAGTCATGCAGACAGGGGCACCAAGTCAAGAGTATGGTCTTGAGCATGTGTAGGCCCACTTACAAACTGGGTCAAATTAAAAGACTAACTAATGTTCATAAAATCCTTAACCATGGGGTCTGTTGGACAGGACACATGAATATTAATATCCCCAAAGATTAAAATTTTGTCAAATTTGGGCATGATTCCAGTGAGAAAGTCAGAGAAATCACAAATAAAATCCTTATTAAATTTAGGGGGGCGATAAACTAACACACACAAAATAGGACAGCTCACCTTTATCACAAACAGCTGCATTTCAAAGCTGGAATAAGCATCCATTGTAATTTGCCAACAATCAAAACAATTTCTAAAAATTGTTGCCACACCACCACCTCTCCCAGTAGTCCTCTGAGAGTTAAAGAACGTACAGTCCAGGGGAAGGAGTTCAGAGAAGGTTTCCACTTCACCGGGCCTCAGCCAAGTCTCAGTTAATAACATAAAATCCAGGCCATGAGCGGAAAAGAAGTCCTTTAGGATAAAAGTCTTGTTCACTAGCGATCTAGCGTTAAGAGCCATCCTCACAGTCGACTGCCTGGTAGGTAGATGTGACGCCTGATCCAACGGGCTTAGGTTAGCCTAAGCTACACCCCTCATCGGCCGTCGTTGGATCCTTTGCCAGTAAAAAGCCGATGAGTGGACCGGTACAATGGGCCGGAGCCATCTGTAGCAGTCCCTACGAACACTCAAAATAGAATGATGGTCCCGACTTAAATTATATTCACTGTTAAAAACGTGAAGATCAGGGCCAGGATAATACCCCAGGTGGCCCTTAAGACTCACCAACGCCCCTCTCTTTCCCCATCTATGGCCCTTCCTCTGTGGAAGGCTACAGGGAGAACGGCAAAGATAGAGTGGAACAGCTGCTAGAAATGGAGGAAGGCTCTTTGATGGCTTTCCCAGCTCGAGAACGAGCAACTTCTCCATTGAGGCCCTGATACTAATAAGGGTAAGGCGATCATATACCAAGGCAGATATGAGGCGTTATGAAAACAGTGTAAAAAACATATTAAAACAAACCACAAACACAACAGCCGCAGACGGCCAGCCACATACACCGGCGCCATCTTGGTCTACACTGTGTTGCGCAAAATAGCATAGAGCAATAGAGCACAATAACTTCAGTTTTGTCTGAGTTTAGAACTAAGAAATTACAAGTCATCCAGGCCTTTATGTCTTTAAGACATGCTTGAAATTTATGCCATGTTTCCTGATAATATTGTCTAACAGGGAGCATGTATAAGAGAATTGGACCCAACACAGAGCCCTCCAGAACACCGTGACTAACTTCATTCTGCACATAAGATTCATCATCAACATGAACAAACTGAAATCTTTCTGATAAGTAAGATTTGAACCAACTTTAAACACTGACATATGCTTTCTACAAGAAAACCATCTAACAAATCCATAATCATAAAACCTTAAATGCAAATGTAAGGCAGTGGATCGCTACCGTTACAGGGCAACAGTACAACACCACCTCTGTAAATCTGGCGTGAGTCTTTTTGTATCCTGACTCAAACACCGTAGTTCCCGTCTGAACTGGGTGTAATATGATATTGTGGTTCAGACCTGTGTTCTCTGCCTTGTAAGGTAAGCGGTCTGCTGCCACACCGAGCATTAATTGAGGATTTGTGAGTCGAAATATATCCGTTAGGAGAGGAGTTAAGCTGTGAAGTTGTTCGTTTAAATGCTTTAGGCGCTCTGTTTCTTTGAGTTATACAGATGTTCTCGTTTTGTGCTGTAATCAGGCATGTTAGCCGTTTAGCTTTTACAGACCGTAGTTGCCGTCTGAACTGGGTGTAATATGATATTGTGGTTCAGACCTGTGTTCTCCGCCTTGTAAGGTGCTGCACCGCGCCCGCTGTGAAGCTGAATAAAAGGGGCCTAACCTGATGCAAGGTCTCAACTGCAATTACACCAGTCCACGAGTCTGACGCTTGGCTCTCCACACCACGCACTCCCCGCCATCTTAACACAACGCAGACCATTAGCGGCGTCTGGAGAGGCGTCATACACGTGTGGGTTACACAAACAATTTAACCAAATATTTTCATCAACATATAACAGTAGGCAAAGAGGTGTCTCAATTTTTATTAATAAAAATATCCCATTAATTCATAATATATCTATCACTGACCTGGAGGAAAGATTTATAATTATTTAGTCTGTTTAACAGACTGAAAACCTTTAAATAAAGTGAGGAGAGTGAAAGACATGTTTCTGCCCTGAATGAATTCAAGTACTATTTCCATTAGCCAGGCAACATATACACTTGTGAATATACAGTGGGGAAAATAATTATTTGATCCCCTGCTGATTTTGTAGGTTTGCCCACTTTGGGTCTATAATTTTTATGATAGGTTTATTCTATTCTACTCTCCATTTACATTTTGTGTACTTGTCCATTCACTTTGAATGGCCGTATTCATTTCCAAAGGCCACACTCAGAGTCACGTGACTCCCGCTCTGGCTCCGTGTCTGTGTGTTTTTGATCAATTTCCTGACGGTTTTCTGCTTTTATTCTGCTATCTATAAGCTTTCACACACATATTATACATGAAAATGGTAGAGAATATTGTCAGGAATCCGAGTAGGCAATTGTTGTTGCAATAGGATGAACGGTATTTGCGTAAAGTTGCACATTCCAGAGGTAGTGCCGCCTCAGTCTTTCATTAATTCAGAAAAAAGATTCAGAAGATCCGCTGAAAGCAAAAGTCAAGGTATTTGTAAATTGCCATGGCTCCTTCATTTTGTGGAATATCTTGACATAGAGGTGATCAGCATTCTCGTTGAAACCTCCTGCTGCTCGTAGTGGACTTAGTTTTTCTTCTGTTGTTGATTATGTTAAGCCCATGCTTCAGTCATATCTCCTGGGTTCTGCTCCACCTCAGGCAGCCCAATCTCACAGACACATTCTCTTTAAAAACTACTTTTTATTGACCCAAGTATTTCACATATACAAAAAACAAAACAAAACAAAACAGGGAACAAATAAAAACAACATAAGATTATTACAAGTGATGAAACAACACCATGAAATAAACCATCCCATGTGATACCACTCAGCCAATCAAGTCTGTGCATTCCAGGTAGTAAACATTGCGACTCTATAGCACAGAGAGATGAGAGTTAGAGGCAAGTTACACATGAAAATACGGTAGAAAGAAAAAGAAAGACAGTGATATACAGTATGTAGAGAAAACAGAGAGATACAGAGGACAGAGCCGGAGAAAGGGAGAGATACAGACGACTGCGCCAGAGAAAGTTGAGGAAAAGACGTGAGACAGAGAAAACGAGAGAAAAATAAAGATTAAAAAAATAGAGCATTTAATCCACAATGGACAGATTCATTTCTGTTCATATTTACCACTGGGAGCACTAAATGGTGTTATACTTGTGTAGTGCCTTTCTACGCTTTTACAGCACACTCATGGCGCTTTCACTTTATTCGGCCATTCACCCATTCGTACTCTCGCATTCACACAATGGTGACATCACCGGGAGCAACTGGGGGTTCAGTGTCTTGCTCAAGGACACTTTGATGTGTTGACTGGACAAGCCAGGAATCGAACCGCTAATCCTCCGGTTAGGAAACAACCCACTCTACCTCCTGAGGCGCAGCTGCCCCCTCTAAATAAATGTGTCCGGTTTAGTGCTCCTTTGGCACTTTTTAAAAGTGCCAATGTGAAACGCCATTATGAGACAAAACATAAAGGTGTTGAGTGTTCACTCATAGTTGCTTGGATTTTGGCCCAACACAAAAAGCCATTTACTGATGGAGGGGTTATCAAAGAATGTATGAGTGCAATAGGTGAAACACTACTTGAGGAAAAACAAAAACAAGAACTTTGTGATAAAATAAAGCAAATACCAATGTCAGCATCATCTGCCACAGTGAAAAGTGAAATATTACTTTTATTTAGTAAATGAGAGAACATTATACATACCGGCAGTCATACATACTGTATATGTTCAGTTTTATCTTACGTGACAATAAATATTGTTGGTTTTTGAATTGTACTGAATTAATTTAACAGTCAGGTATTGATTACATGCAAATGTTGATACTACTGCTAGGCTACTTAAATATATATCACACTAAATAGTTAGACATTATGATCTTCTGGACCTATGCTTCAAGAATTTTTTTATAACTGGACCTCTTTAAATTTTAGTTGAATACCCCTGCTGTAGAACAACGGATCTGCACATGGTGATGTGGAGATAGCGTGATGGAGGTGATCCTAACAAGAGAAAACAGAAAGACTGTGTTATAAACTGGAGTTTATGAAACAAAATATGTTTGAAATTTGGATAGCTATTATACCTTGAGCACTGCTGGAGGGCAGGAAACCATTTTTAGTCCAGAACAACTTCACAAAGACACATTCTGGAAAGTTTTACTATGAACTGGAGGGATGACAGAGGACCTGACATAAACAGTTAATGTAAATACCACTGTAGCTGTACCACAAAAGACAGAACAGTGTCGAGTCTGAATAGATAAATGAACAAAGCATAAACTAAATAATAACGTTTTACAAATAAAAAGTACAGGGTAATGAAACTTTTAGCTAAAACAATTAAAACAATAACTTTATAGTAACAATACTTTGTTCTGTTCTGAAGAAACACGTTACTGTGATGAGTCTCCAGTTGTGGCAGCATGAAGTCTTGATTGGTGTGAGGTTATCAGCATCGCCGAGTCAGAAGTAAGGTGAGGTAAAAGTTAAGAGTTATCTCGTGTTTTGTTTTGAAAAGTGAGTTGGATCTGCAGGAAGTATAACATTTCTCATTGCGGTCCAGATAGGTCAAATTGTGACTGATAGTTTTGATTGTGTTGCAGGTTTTGGTCTGTAGCAGCATACTGTCTTGATTGTGTTAATCCTCAGAGTGTTAGAGGAGGTGAGGAGAAAGTTGAATCATAGCAGACACCTTAACAGGAAGTGGTGTCAGAATAAAAGCATGTTACAGGAAGCAGAAGAGACAGAATCATGACATTAATATGGCCTCTATTGGCCATTTGTAGAAAATGTGAATAGGACAAGTGTCAGTTGCGTTTTATCAATTTTTACCCATCCAGCTGTAGCCTTATAGGGTTGTTTCTGTGGGACACAAAATATCTGCCAGACACAATACATGTCATCGACATGAGACGGCAGTCCTTCTGTGTTATGGTTAACAATGGTCAGAGTGTAGTGTCTGCTCAGTGTTTGTCTGATCTGAAGAAGCAGCATCATGTCATCCATGTTGGCTATTCTCGTAGTCTCCAGGGCTGATGTGATCTCTGGATTCAAATAAAATCATGTCTCATCCATGTCCAGTAGGTGCAGTCCACTAAGGGAGGCCACTCTGCTGATAGCTATGTAAGCCATGCCACGTTCAAAAATGTGCTTCGGTGAAACTACAGCTGATGTTGCCATTCTCTGAACCTTGTGGATTGTACCACTCCTCTGTTTCAGGTTGTGTACTCTTTCTATGTACACTAGATTGTCAGCTGCACTGACTGTTCGTTCCAGCTTGTTTCATTGTCCATTTTGCATCCAGGCTTAGTAACGTGTGTAGCAACCCCAGCCAAATGATTTGGTTGCTCTCTTTTACTGATGGTTCATTTGTACTTTATTTGCTCCTTGAAATCCTTTCATTACACCTTGAACACACCGTAAGAGCTATGAAACAAAAGTAAAGCTAGTTAGCACCCAAAATTACAGATAAATATTTAGTAAAATGCGATAAAATAAACACAGTGTTCAGCAATAACAAAAACGGTTAAATCACACATAAATGTAGCTTAGCATTGCATAGCGTAGCATAAAGCTAACATTAGCTCCTTTGGCTAACCCATACAAAAATATAACCATAGACAAATTAGCAACCCAAATGAATCATTGTACCCTATGAACTAAACATTACGAACCTTGTGCCCATATTGGCTGGATGCTAAGTCAAAATTTAAACTGTAAATTACTTTCTTATCCTCCGTTTTCATTAACTAACAGTGTTCTCTGTTCACTTTCTGTACTTCTTCGTTGGTCTTAACTTCCTGTTCTACTTCTTCCTTCAAAATAAAAGTCTGTAGTAATAAACGTATTTTATAGAACAAACAATAAAACTAAATTGTATTAATAAACACTATAAACGGTTAATAAAAATGGTTATTTACAACGTGCACAATCATTCGGTTATTCTCACCCTTCAGCTATTTCAACAAAGAACCTCAGCCATTTCTTCTCATCATTCAGCTGTTTCAGCAATTGATTTCAGGCATTTTCAGGGTGATCCTCACGATGTTTCATTTCAATAGCCACACTAGTAGTCCTCAGGCTGTAAGACTACTTTCTCTCTCTCTCTCTCTCTCTCTCTCTCTCTCTCTCTCTCTCACACACACACACACACACACCTACTTGTTTTTCCTATTACATGGGGACTGCTCACACATGGACACCCACACACACTCGTTTGTTTTCCTTACTTTGTGAGGCCTGCTGACACACAACTTCAGCTTTTAATTTCATCTTACATACAGTAATTATGGAACTTTTTCTCTTCAGCTTTCATAATTATTGAACTTTTTTTCATATTCCATAATTGTTCAGCATTGCATCTCATCCTTTCAGCAATTGATCTTTGGCATCTCAGTATTTTCAGGGTGATCCTTCAGCATCTCAGCATTTACACGCATCTTCGACAGGAAATACATTTCTCTAGTTTAATTTGATTAATCTTGCACAACAAAAACAAACCAAAACCATAATTTTATCACTAGATGCAGAGAAGGCATTTGAGAAAGTTAATTGCACATTTCTCTTTTGCACACTACACAGGTTTGGGTTTGCAGAGTTGTTCATCCATTGGATAAGAACACTGTACACATCACCTAGGGCAACAATAAGCACAAATGGGATCAGGTCACCAAGTTTCATTTTACAGCAGGTTACCAGACGAGGATGCCCACTCTCACCATCTCTATTTGCCATTTTCATCGAGCCTCTAGCAGCAGTAATACGACAGAACAATA